ATCTTTATTTACAGATGATAAGATTGTATCCCCATAAAACACATGGGAATCAACTGCAACAAATAGTAAGAGAATCCAGAGAGATGGTAGGTTATCAGATTAACAAATAAAAATCAGTGGTGTTCATGTATACTTATACACAGAGAAGGGTCAGGGAAGACTGAAGAGTTCAGCACAATGCAGTTACAGGAAAGAGCTGGAATCTATCCTGAGCTCACAGCTGACTCCTAGGTAGGGTGAAGTCACATCTGCACAATCACAACACTACCACCATGTGTACACATAGTGCTGTACCACATCAGCCGGCTACATATAATCCCACATACATGCCTAGGGGACACAGAGTCCCTATAGCAGACACAGGGCTCTCCGCACCCACACACCAAGGTCACACTAGTCGCACCTGCACAGACACAAGCGCCTAACACCACATAATCACAGACCTCCAACTCCCACACACACCCCGGGACACACAGTCCCAACTGCACGATCACTGGCCCTCTGCATCCCCATGGCGCACGGTTCAGTCACAATCACGTACCCATTCCGGGAACACGTAGAGTCACAAGCACCGTACTCCATCACCCAGTTATCATCACTTACAGTTACAGTCACACAGCACGAATACACACAGTCACACACGCTCACACGATCTCCATTCTTCAGCTCGTTCTGAACAGGAAAGGCCCGGATCCAGACTCCTCGCCTTAGCCCTTCCCCGGTTCCGGTCTGGTCCAAACTGGCGGAGTGGTACGGGGTTCTAAAGGTCTCAGAGCAGGTAACTCCGCGCAGCCAAGGCACCGCCAGTCAATAAAGCGGCGGCTAAGTCTCGCGGGACACAAGGTTGGCCTGCGGGGTCCGCTGGGAAATGTAGTCCAGAGGCGGTCACAGCGCCCCCGTACCCCGAGTCCTCTCAGCGCGGAAGCTGGGCGTGCGCCATCTACGCACCAAATAAAACTGCGAGGCCCGCACGCCGAGCATTTCGCAGATAGAGCCCGTCGGCCTGCTGGAGTCGTCAGTCCTCGTCCCTGGCAGCCCGGTGAGCGCCAGGGCACATTGGTCGGAACGGCCAGTTCGCGGCGGAAGTAGCTCCGATCCACAGGGCCTGTGGGAAATGTAGTTCGGGCCAGAGACGCGGCCAATCCGGCCAGAAAGCAGGTGAACTGATTCTTCTCAGCTCCGAGGTCGGTCCTGGCAGCCGTTACCCTACCCGCCGTGCCCAGGAGATTTCTATAGGTTCTGGTTCGCCCTCGGAATGCAGAGGGGATGAGACACTGACTTGACATTTCATCTTTGCCGGTGGGTGAGTCCAGGCCTCGGTGCACGCAGCGCTCAGGGTGAGAATGAAGGTGGCACCTGATGGTCTTCAGGTGAGGAAGAGGGCGGGGCAGAGGATGCTGCAGATGCTGAGTTGTGGCCGCAGGTGTGACTGGGTGTTATGTATGTGTGAATGTGGATCACCTGCTTGGGAGATCTGGCTTGAATCTGTGTATCAGAAATTAACCTCTGAGGCTCATGTTGGGCGTTTGTAAAATGATAAGAGAGCATCTTTCTAGGGCATCAATTTTATTTGAGGGTTGACAGAAGAAAAATACCTATTATATGATAAAGAAAATTAACTGATTTTTGTGTTTAAATAGGCATGTTTATTGTGGATTAGAATGCAAATTCAACATGCTTTTAAAGCAAGAAGGAATACTGCAAAATAATTTGTTACCAGATGCTTGCTCTCATCTGTCCCAGACCCCCAAGTATAGACACATACTCTCCTCTACATTCAATGAAACTACTAAAATATTTGGGTTTAAATCTACCACCTTACTATTTTCTGTTTATTCCACCTGTTCACAATCTTAACACTTTCAGAGAGTTCAGGTTACTTATTTTGTGTAATGTTCTTCACTTTGGGTTTATCTGATGTGTTGTCATCATTTAACATTTTGGGGAGGAAAACTCCATAAGGAATACTGCTCTTCTCAGTTTCATCAGGAGACACACAATGTCAATATGTTCTGTTACTGATGTTGTTAACTTTATAACTTAGTTTAAATGGTGTCCATAAAGTTTCTCCACTCTAGAGATAATTAATGGGTATGTTGGATTTGCCAGTGAATAAATAAAAGGAAGCCAACTGGTAAAGGAGCCTGGGAAATGTAGTATACAGACTCCCAGTCCTAGCATTACTGACAAGCATATAGAAGGCTCAGTATGGAACTGAAAAAAATAA